AGTTATAAATTCTGTATAAATATGATGAACAATTTTTTAGCAGATACAAAAAATAGCGATACACTTTAACATTTAGAATTCTAAGTGAACCAATGAAAACTTTTTTAACCGATTTGGTTTTTCGCGTTCACGGAGACTACGTGTTACCGTAGGCGTTAAAGGGTCGGCCTCGGTCGGCCGATTTGCCTCGACCGGTCGCGTTGACACTGCCTCCGCAGCCGTGAAGAGACCTTTACGAGCGCGTAATCCGGTGCGTACAACGCGACGTACGTACGTAAACGAAGCGTCCCAGCCCTGCGTATCCAGCAGCCTCTTTCGCATGCGTAGCGCCTGCGGTTGGTGCGTTGTTGGGCAGAGGTGAACCGAGGCGAGAGCGACACACAAGAGAGGGTGGGCGGGGTACTTACTAATTGTCCGAGCCCTTCGCCCCTCGATCTGACCCCCCTCATCAACGCTGATTGCCTAACTCTAGGACCCTCAAACCAGGGTCCTCACGATTCTAGACCGGCGAAGAGGATCGAACGTCCTCTGGCGTGTCGACGAAGCGAATCAACCGCTCCTTCCGCGTCGCGCTATACTTCAACCGTTCACTCCGAAATTTCCGTTGATCCTTTGTTGAACTTCCGTCCTGGCTAATTGAAATAATTGAAATAATTGTATTTGTTTTTGGGCTTTCGTTTATCATACAGAATGATCGAGATAAATTTAATTTTGTATTTCGAAATAAAAATTTTATTCCGTATTATTGCGAGTCTTTTACGTTTTCAATAAAAGCGTAGTACGAGATGTGAACTATTACGTGATTAAACTTTTGCGGACATATGCAAATTTTGTTGCTATAATTAACGGTAGCTATTTCAAAAAATGTTTATTCTCCCTTTCCATTTATACTGATTGTGAGAGAGTGCGATATCGCACGCGATGGCCGAACGTTGCAACGCGCAAAATGCCAAACGGTTTGCCTAATAAGGGCGGTTTGTTCCGAAATCGTGAGTGGAGGTCTACATACACCGAAAGTCGATTATTCAACCCGGGGATCCGCACGTTCGCCCGTTGATTTTTTTCCATCCCATGGCCGCGGCTGACTCAATTATACATGACGATTCTTTGAGCAAACATTAGTTAGCGCCGGCTGGCTCGCGCGTCGGATTGGCTTGGATCGGCTCGCCTCGGTTCATGCGGTGACCCTTCATGGTTGCTTGGCTCCGTTGTCTACTCGTCAACGAACAGCCCCACGGGGTTACGGGGTGTCAACGCGGTTCTCATTTTCTCGCCTGGGGATTAATCCCATTAAGCGTGGCGCGAGCAAAGCTGCGAGATCGCTAAGCCGCGCGATCGATCGTATATATACACACACACACACGCGCACGCATACCTTTGAAACTTCACCGTTAGATTCGATCGTGATTTTTTTTTTAATCAAGACGATCCGATCAAGATTTCGACATCCCATGTGCCGCGCGATACGCGTTACATGCCGCGTATCGAATTTTTGTCGCGACGCATCGCTCGATCCGAAAGTATATATCGGAGGTGCGGCGCGTATACGTCGCACCTGCAACCGGAATGCGAGAATTGAGTTATTCGACGTCACCGAGATTAACTGCGCGCTCGTACTCTGTGCGCACCAGTTGACAAACACGACCGGAACAATTCAGAAAAAAACTACCCTTACCCCAGGTCGTGTTTCAGTGTGATGCAGCATACAGTCCCGACGGACATTTCGCGTCATGCGACATCTCGTCGAATGAGTCGAACGTTATCGAGCCGCGGTCGCGTCGCATTTGCGTTCTTCCTCTTTTTTTTTTTTTTCCACGCGGTATGAAATTAAGCGCGCGTAATGCGCGCTTCTGAAGATCCTTGCCATCCTCCTACGAAATGATTCGTCGCACGCATTCGCGTAAGAAAGAACCACTGACTCGGCGGCCGGATTTCGTTCGAGTGAGAACCTGAGAACCGCTGATGTCCTGAACCTATAGGTACTAATACAGATCTCACGCACTCCCCTCGATATAAACCATTCTCCTCCGCCCCTGTGCTCGCCGTATGGGATCCCTTACGCACACACGAAAGATACGAGACGATTGCGCGACCGTACGACCATTCAGATTTAAATCGCGACAAAAAAAATATGGATTCCCCTTGCAGCAGCACGGAGCGCGACTTTCCGCTCTCTTTCATATTCTTCCTTTCTATTCGCGACGCCTGGACTGTTCGACGACATTTCCCTGACACTTTTGAGAATGGATCTCGCATGCCAGCGATATCGATCATCCTTAAAATACAATGGCGATCGATCGTTACGTGCAACTTTCGAGGTGTGGTGTGAAAAGGTGTGATTAAACATGACAGATTGTTTTAATCTTTCCACGTAGATTTCGATTTTATTCATTTCGTTGCATTTCTACCATCTATTTACATTAGAACTCTGGCTTATAAATATCAATATCTCTGTCTTTTGGTCTCTTGCTCTCTCCTCTCTCTCTCTCTCTCTCCTTTTATGCTTACACATGCACTTTTATGAACACACAAAATGTAGATAAATCTTCATCTCTCTACCTTATTGTCCACGAACTATATACACGATATATATACAATTCGTTTTCATATGTACATTTGTCCAAATTTATAAAATTCATCGTGAATTTTATAATTTCGATTTAGTAAAATTTATAAAATTCATCGCGAATTTATAAAACTTGAAACACGTGTCCGCAATGATAGACGAAACACCCTCGATCGCGTCTCAGAATATTTAAAAAATATTGCTAAACTGAATTGCTAAAAGAATCAACAATTGAGTTTATAAATACATAAAATTCTTGAAACTTATAGTGAATTTTATAATTATGAGTTACTTATAAAATTTATAAAACCCGTCGTAAATTATGTTAATTTTATTTATTAAAATTAATCATAATTGTAACCTTTCCCGTCTATCACCGCGGCGATACGTTTTCACTAGCCTTCTTCCGGAATACGTCGAAATGTCGTCACTTCCGCTAATTAGATCTACGATTTCGAATATGGCCTCCAAACTTTCGCAGACGACGTTGAGAGCTTTGTCGGTGCCGGGCTCCCGTGCGATGGCGACAATCGTTGGGAGATAAGCGCGGTGGGTGCCTTCAACTCGTTTCTCCTGCCTTCGGCTGGCTTCTTGGGGTTTCTGTCTGGCGACGACGATGAAGATGTGCTCGGCGGTAGGGTATTGTGTCGAAGAGGTACGAAGGCACTTCGGACCTCCTCGGTTGCGGACTCGCTACCAGATTCGCTAGGACTCGGCGGCGTTCTCGACGGGCTCGACGTGATCGCCAGAACCGGCGTCATCGCGTTCGCCGTCGACGTGTTGGTCGTCAGCGCCGCGTAATCGGGATAATTGTTGACGTATTCGAAGGGATACGTCAGAATGGGCGAGAACGCCGGATTGAACAATTCGGGGGGCGATGGTACCGTTCCTGAGGAAGAAAGAATCGGTTAATCTCGGCCGCCCGCTCGCGGGGGTGAACGGTAGTGATAAGTCGCATTGTTGTTTCAACGACGAAAGGGACGTACGCGGCTACGGGAAAGCGGGGCGGAGGGGGAGCGAGGGGGGGGGGGGACCGTAGAGGGGTCCGCTGTGGGAAAAGAGAGCTCAGACTCACCCCTCACGGTCCGGCTCACGGGGATATGAATCATCGGCAGGCGTCGCAGACTCGACGAAATCGATAACACGGATTCTCTCGTGTGAGCGCGGAACTCTCTTTTAAGACTTTTTTTTTTTACGTTCATGATATATAGAGATGTGAAATATTTTTTCCCCGCTCAATTCACTTTTTGTGTATTTTTTTTTTTTTTAATGCAGCGACATTTTTACCTTTAACTAAAGGATGCGGCATGTGCCAGGGTCCAAAGTACGCAGCATCCAGCCAAGGATTGAGTAAAGTAGTGAGTCCGTGAAATCCGGCGCCATACTGATAATCTGTAAAATAAATCGGAGGTGCTTGATTATACATACGTACATTAACGACCAGTTTCGAGTTGAAAATAGATTCTATCGTTTCGCTTGGTCTATGCATTACGGAGCTTTTTACGATCGGCCGCGGATTCTCTCGCAGTCCATATTGCGGCTATGCGTTATTAAATTTGCGAGAGATAAAGAAACGCGTGAAAACCCCGTTACAAGATCTCACTACTGGAAGAAGTTTCGATAAGAGAGAGAGAGAGAGAGAGAGAGAGAGAGAGAGAGAGAGAGAGAGAGAGAGAGAGAGAGAGAGA